AAGAGATTGGCCCCCGACTCCGCACCGCTCAGGATGGGGCAGTTTTTTTGCTGTGCGGGCCAGAGGCGTGTTGGGGGAGGGGAGGCACTAAGCCACAGCACAGAAGAATCGGAGTGGATATGGGGCTTTTGACCCACCCCCGGGCCTGCCCACAAATTGTACCCCCTCCATCCTCCAGATTCAGGAGGTACCAGTCACCCCAAGTTGGATCATGCTTTCCCCTCTTCTCTCAAAAAGCTGCAACTTAATTGATGCTAAACCACAACCACTTCCTCAATGACATCTCTTGAACATTGTTGTTTGAGTGCAAGTAACAAAATTTAAGTAAATTAGACAATACTTATGATCATCAACCATGGAACTTACTTGTGAGCTTGTTGTGACTGAGAACCAGCTGTGTGATATGGGACACAGTGACTGTAAGGAAAAAAGAAAAAAAAACAAACAAACAACATTTAGAGAATGAAATGCCATAGCCACTTCTATCCAGGTTCAGTTTCAGGCAGACCAACATTTCCCCCCCCGCCACTCAGATTCAGAGATGGGCAGAGTTTAATGCAACAAATATGTACAAACGTGTCACTCCTTGATACAAGATTGGAACCTGTACAGTTTTCTGGAAATACAGCTTATGTCCCCTTTCTCCTTTCCGTTCCTCCCTGACTGCAAATCTCCTTTCATAGGACAGCTTCAAATAAGCCCCAGTTCAGTTAAGAGTATTTAAAGGAAGATGTTTTGTTTGGGGGGGGGGAGGGGGAAGCACAGGGCGCGGGCAGGGAGGCGGTGTTTTTGTTTTGGGTTTGTTATTGCTTTGTTTTAAGATCAAAAGGTGAAGGCTGTAGCTTTGCTGAAAAGGAAGTTGCATATCCCTCTCCATGCCACATCATGAGACTGAGATACTTTTAGCAACTTCTTTACTTTGTTTCAGAATGACATTAAGACAACAACCTATCAGACCAGTGCACAACCTAGTCCTATGACTGAGGATAACTAGTCATGTTGTTCTTTCGATTTGCGTTCAAAAGGGTTCTGATCATTTGCCCGGCAGAGATAGCTGACAGGAGAGAATGGTTACAAACAGCACGGGACCTCTGCAAGGGAGTTCCATGTTATTTGCTTCCACATAATTCGAATGAACCGCATTTTGTAACTCTCCCTTGAGAAAAATTCAACAGAAGTATTGATGTCTGTAATCCCCAGGGACAGCAAAAAATAGAAGATCTTCAGCGATTCATAATGCTACTGAAGTACTGAGGTAACATGGGTACAGTCCTAGTCAAATAAAGTTAATGAGCCAGAGAGAGAAAGCCGTCTCCAACTAATTCGTTGTCTACCACAATTAAAAAAGCTACTCATCTTGAAAAGCATCATGCATGGACTTCTGCTCCCTACAATATCTTCGTTACAGCTTTTTTCCTAGAATCACTATGTTGTTTCTATTTTGAGAAAACTTCCTTTCAAGCAAAGAGACATATCAGGGCCTTGAAAAGTTTCCCAGACACTTATGAGACCCGGGAGTACAACTGTGAACCAGAACAAATCACTTGCACCACAACCAGCCACTGAAACACTCCATCAGTTATAACACAAGTTTCCTGATAACTTTCTGGCTGATGGATAACAGGTTGATGCATGTTTATTAATTTCTATTATAGATCTTCTTAATAAGCTTTCTTCAATTTTTATTTATTCAATTATTCTTTTCATTTTGTGTTTTACCTTACTATTGCTGTAGAACACTACATTTGGGATGGAACAATAAAAGTCAACCAACACCCATAAGTTTGACTACTACCTTCTTGGACAAAGATACTTTTGAGAAGAAGCCACCAGTGCGCACACCTTCACTTAACTGAGAAGAAATAAAAGGCTGCTGAAGTCTTAGCAAGGTCCAGGGACTGACTATTAAGTTGTTGTTTGTACTGCTAGGGAGTTTCTAATGATCTAACAAAATCTATCCCATGCATCATGGTCTTTACAGCTTAAATTTAGGTTAATTCACCACAGAACCTCTTGTTTATTATGAGGGTATATCTTGAATATTACTGAGCCTTTCCTTAAAGCCTTCTATCCGTTTGCAGTTTCTTCCTAACATCTCTCTCCGTCTAAGCTTAAATCCTCCTCCCAGTTACCAGATCTACTGTCTTCACCTGCTGTTGTTTGAAGAAATCTGTGAGAAACAACAGATCGCAGAAACTAGCCTGTTTCCCATCAGTTCCACCACTGGCAAAAAACACTCACCAAATGTTACAAAGAACAGCAGTGAAAACTAACAATGCTGGTCAGGCTTCACTATATTGCAATCTGAGAAAACTATGAGTGGCAGTCGAGACACTGAAATTGCATGCAGGCCCATGTGCACAGTACCAACTACATTTATACTTCCAATTATTAAGGGAGAAACTGGGGAGTTTCCCCTTAATGAAAGCTTAGGTTATAAAGGAGCTTATGTCCTTAACCCATGAATTCTTCTTCCTTTCTACTGCCAAGTGGACTTTTCAAAGCATGGTACAGCAGGAGGATGAAGAGATAGAAGTACAACAGAAACCATGGAATTCTGCTTAAGAACTGGATCAACTTCACTAAGCTATTTCAAGATATGAAAAAAAAGAAGGGGGGGGTAGAAAAAGAAAGGAAGCCAGAGAAACCCACCCTAGAACATTTTCAGAAGACAAAGAGTCTTGAAAGAGATCTGTCTGGAGTAGCTTACAAGAAAAAAACATGGGGCAGATAAATGTTGGATGGCCACATGCTGAACGTCAGTATCTAATAATCAACTGAAAAAGGCAGACATGAAAAGTATTCTCCATATGCAGCCCTACAGTACATACAGCATGTCTAAATATTTAATGTTATGACAAGGATTTAAAACTATATTAATATATTTAATAGATTATACTTCTACACCATAGGTTTCACTCTCAGGGATAGCCATTGTAGGGCTGATTTGCATACAAAAGAGTTTGCGTTTTGTTACACTTTTACAGAAGAATGCACAGAAGACAAGCAGGGCTTCCATATAAAAGCCATAATGAAATATCTTTTCAGATGTCTCAGTAACAGGCAGACCCTAAAGTCCCTTAATAATTCTTAGGTCTAACCAAACCGGGAATATAGAGAAAAGGGTTTGATTGCTAACATCACAAATTAGACAGATGACGCATTTTCTGCCCTCTGGCAATTTTATCCTCCACCAGTAGGATAGAAAGGGATCCATCTACTGCAGGATAAGACAACCCTTGAGGCCCACTACAGCCCAAGCCTGGACATCTTTTGAAAGTACTGTAAGACATTTCTGTTTGGGCAAGCATTTGGCAATCAAAGCTGAGATACTGTTGCGGGTAGGGAAGCAGGGGAAAAGCTTCTGTTTTATGTTGATATTCAAGTTCTGTTTAAAGTTGTTTCATCATTTTCCTATTTTATAAGTATTCTGTTCTCCTAATGTGAACCATCCTGAGCCTTTGTTGGGAAGGGCAGCATATAAATCAAACAAGCAAGCAAGCAAAATATGCATTTAAAATTTGAGCCATCAGTACAGAAAGAAATCCATGGTATTGGTCCAATTTCAATCATTTCTCTCCATTCTGATTTTAGTAGTCCCAATAATATTTTACTGACTGATCCTTCAAACAAACACCTCAATTCTTGATACTCATAGCAGGAGTTACTGTACCAGTAATTGCCCTATTAACCCAGACATATACATACATACCCACACACATACCTCAGTGCGACTTGCATCAGATTTTTTTAATACAGTACTGAAATTACACTGGGATCTGGAATACCTGCACGTATGTCCATCACAGGGTAGTTGCAAGCAATAAATAGCTAGTCACTGAGGCTAGGGACAGAAGTTGCACATAAACTGGTTTAAATTGGTAACAGAACAGAAGTTCAGTGCACATAAACCAGTTTCAAAATGGATGAAACTTGTTTAAGATAAACCTGGTTGAATGTAGTATCAGACTGAACCGATTTGGGCCAAACCGGTTTATGGAACTTCTGTCCCAGCCCTTCCTGGTTCAAGTTAAAATCAGT